TCAATGTAATTCATCTTTTGATCTCCTGACTGGTGCTTCCACGAGCACTGATTGTGAATCCAACCAAGAAAAAAAAAAATCCTTGACAACTTCAATCTTTTCTCCATTTCTCATGATACTTATTTATCCAATTGTAAGGAGTTTAGTCTTCTTGAAATTGAGGTATATACGGCATACTGAAGGCTGCAATCCTTTATCTTCATCAGCAAAGACTTCAAGGGAGGTGGGGGTATTTGACTCCAAACTGGTAGCATTTAAAGTGTAATTTTTCTTAGAATAAACATTATGTTTCAAAAAAAAGTGTAATTTTCCCCCCTAATTTTCAGTATACCACTTGCCCCCTAGTTTCATGTAACAAAGAGAAACCATACTTTCTATTTACTAGGTTTGGAAAACTAAACCTAATAAATTTATATTTATTTCTCTTTTTATTTTCTGGATTCAATTGTCAGTTTCAGCAACTGTCCTAAGCAAACTTAGTTGGTCTTTACTTAAGTATAAGTGCTGTACGTTAAAAGAATCCCCCTTTTACTATTTTTCTCTTGCTATTTTCCTACACCTACATAGTGCTTTAGGAGCCCTGCTGACAGTGAATTTATAATCTGTATAAGTTTATTAATATCCCATGTATTTTAGATTAAAAAGCATTCCTATATATGTATATTTTCCTTTTCTCTATAGTGTTTTAAATTATATACCATTGGCTAGTTAATTATACTATTATTAGAATTAACAAATGTCTCATGGGGGTTAAATTATTTCTCAACAAGTTGATAATGCAGCCTCTAAAGTAGATGAGGGATATATAGATATATAAACTTTAAATATATGAATGGATTTTGAGCTCACACTGAAGTGTAAGCCATAATCTAAGAAACATTAGTTCTTACAATGTACCCCCGCTCAATATATTGACCTCATGAGGATCAAAGAAGACATCCATTTCCCCCCAAACTCTTCTGCCATTCTCTCAAGGAACCATTAATCCAGTTACTATCTCTACAGATTTACCTATATTCTGGATTTCATATACAGAAAAATATATATTTTAATTAATAATAACAAAGTAAAACAGATAAAAAGATTAAAACCATAAAATATTAAAAACTAGAAACAATTTTAATGGATCATAAGGGAGATCAAATAATAGGGTGATAAATTTTAACCTAACTATATCTACAACAATTCACTTTCCACTGCCTTCTGTATGGCAACAAGGCTATTCACATCCCTGGACCATGGTCAGAGGGGCTTCTCTAGCTTAATGCATGTATATTAACTGAAACATTTTTTAAATGGTCAAAGGGAAATCAAATGACATGGCATTCTATGTTGACCTAACTACATCTGCTATAATTGATTCTACAATGCTCTGTCTGACAACAGGGCTATTCACATCCTCAACTATGATCTGATGGGATTCCGCACAGGCTTCATCCCTGTGTAGAGCCTGCAAATGGATTCTAGGCTTCCATTGTCATCCATGCCCTTCTGCAAACCAGGTGTTCACAATTTATGCACTGATACCATTCCCTCCTTTACATTTGTATTATATTACTTATAATCCTTGGATCACTCAGGCTGGTGTACTTCTTCCATATGGACGTAGTTAACACCTCATTTCAATGGCTATTTGAAAACATGCCTTTAAGATCCCAGATATTATTCTTTCTGATAGACAAGCACCATCTAGTTTCTTTAACACATTTTGCTATAGCACCATATCTTCAGTGACCTCTTCATGAGAATGTGCATCAAGCAGGGCCATTTCAGAAGAACTAATTATTCTTAGATTGGGGCTAGAATTACATGAAAGCCCCAATTTAAAGGCTTCTCTATTTAAAGTGTTAGGTAAGTCCACATGGAAAAAGGACACCAGTCTATGTGATACAAGGAGTGTAAATAATAAACTCCAAGATTAGAGGAAGGAACGGTATTCAAATTTAAATAATTCTGAATACCCAGTTGTCAGAAGACTATGGATAAAGGGAATGCCCAAAATGCGTTTCCAGAGACCCCACTTGGATTAAGCCACCACTGAACTCCTTCAGATTTTTGTCCAGGGATGTGAATAGTCTTGCCCTCAGACAGAGTGTGTTAGAAGGTGGATTACTGTAGATTTAATATATTATCATCTTTTCCTTCTGACCCATTTTTAAATTTCTTCTAATTTCTATTTCTTATGCTTTCTCTTGCATCAAGATTTTTGTGCTTTATTTTGTTATTGTTGTTGGCACTTTTGTATCATTTTATTTATATGAACACCACAATACCTAAATCTAAAGAAAAAGTAACTAGATGAAGGGTTCCTTAGGGCTAAGGCAAGGGAAATTATGGGGGAGTGAGGAGATTTAATAAAGAAAGTGTTCTAAAATTGATTGTGGTAATTACTGCATAATTCTTTAATATATTTAGTACATTTAAACCACTAAATTGTTTTTGAAAAATTATTGATGAAAAAATAAGGACAAACTTAAAGGGTAGGTTGCAGGCCATTTACATACTATCAAATATAATGTGTCAGGCAGGGTTCTCTAGAGAAACAAAATCAGTATACTTATGATTTTATATATATAAATTTTATATAGAGAGAATAGGTTTACATAGCGAGAAGGAATGTAACAGCTAATAAATCCACACAGCAGTACAGAGGGCTCAGTTCGACTCACTTTCGTGGAACAATTAATATACTGGAAGTCCTTCAACTCACAGGCTGTCAGGTCCAAGGTTCAAGGAGGCAGACAGTAGAGTCTTCCCTCAGGCGAGGCAGGCAGAGACTGCCTACAGGCAGCAGACAGCAGGGTAGGTCAGCAATAGTCAGTAGCTCAGGAGCTTAGTGAGGCAGGCACTGATGGGATCTGAATTCAAGCAGGGCAACAAGATCCACCAGTCTCAATCTCAAGCGATGCACACACCGGCAGCATGGCAAAGTAGATCTCGGAGGAGCCTCAAGCTCTAGTAACAGGATCCAGTGGGTGGCTTGGCCCACAGGTACTGTAGCACACAAGTTGAGGCAGAGAACACTAGCTAAAGCAGCAGCATGCTGGGGGGAGCACCGGGAAACAAGAGAGATGGGGGTGGGCCTTGCAGAGCCATTTATCTCTGCCCTCCAATCAAACTTCAACCTAATTAATCATCACCCACATGTTGGTACTATCACATATAATGAAGGAAATACACACAGAACACAAAATAAATGACTGGGACCTACTAAAAATAGACAATTAAAGAACCAAAAGACTTCATCAGATGAATAAAAACAGCCCACAAACTGAGGGGAAAATCTTTAGCAATGACACATTGGACAAAGGACTACTCTCTAAAATCAATTATCTACATATGTCAAAAAAATCCAATTAATAAATGGGCGCAAGGCATAAACAAATAGCTCACTAAAAATGACATCCAAATAGCTAACAAACAAATGAAAAAATATTCACAATCACTAGCCATCCGAGAGATGCAAATCAAAACAATTACAATGACAGCCCAATTCAAAGAAAATAACAAATAATAGAGAAGGTACAGAAAGACTATGCAGCTAACCACAAGGTCAGCAGTTCAAAATCACCAACCACTCCATAAGAGAAGGATGACTTCCTACTCCCATAAAGAATTAGTCTCAGAAACCTCCAGGGACAGTTGTACTCTCTCCTTTGGGATCACTTTGAGTCATAACAAGTCGATGGGAGAAGTTTCATTTTATTGAACCTAGTGCACTATATTTTCTTTTTGTGAAGCATTTTCCCTTTTCAGGTTTTTAAAATTATTTCTTTAAGAATTTTAGTTGAATACTAGGTAGTTTATATTTCAGATAATTTTTGCATTCAATATCAAACAACTTATCAAACCTTCCAATAGTCTGTCCTGTCTACACCACCACCACCACCACCACATTTTTTCCCCTTATGGGACCTTCAGAAATATATTACTAAGTATAGTCTGCTTGTTTAAAAAAGAAATGCATTACCAATTTCCACCATATGTACTAGAAAAAAGACTATATAGGTCAATCATAATGTTCAAATAAACGTATACAAACAAAGTTCATGTAATCACTTGATTATTGAAAAAACATGAGAGGATGACTTTTAGGCAATACCTATTTTTTTAAAGGTCATGAAAAAAATAAAGGTTAACTAGTTTAGTAGAAGAAACGATAGATGTTTTTACATATTTCACATGGTCTAGATGAAATTGGGCATGAAAACAATGATAACCACAAAAACTGGCATGAGTTTTGAGAGCAGTAAACATCATTAATTTAGAATAAGAATTAGGAAGATAAAATACCCTTTGAAAGGTTTTTATGTTAATATTAGTCTCAGTAACTAATTTTAAAATAAATTTTATACCACTATGAATAATTTCATTATATTATATAATGAATATATAAAATATTTAAAGAAACTATTCATAGTTGCATAAAAATCATATTTGAAATACTATATAATTACTCAGTTAATATTTGAGAGAAGAGGGTAGTTCATTAAAATAGGCTGAAAGATTAAGAGGAACAATAGCAACTAGGGTGTGTCCAAAGATTACTAACATATGGAATAATGTAATATTCACCCTTCAACTCCACCAATACTTAATTACTACACTATAGTCACCACATTCTCACTTACACTGTCAATATCACCTTATTTTATGGCTATGTAAGTAAATACACAAACCTTAATATAAGTAGGTAAACACATTATGTGTTCATGTTTATGTTTATATGTGTATCTATCTTCCAAAAGCAGTTATATGGCATTTTGTCTTTAAGAAGTCTTAATAAACAAAGAGTTTAAACAGCTCTACTTTTAAATTAAATTTAAAAATGAGGCCAGTGATATATGAAATAAATATTATATTAACTAACCTTGGGAAATTTTTTAAAGCATAAAACTAAAGGAGGTCATTAAAAGATTTGATATTTATACAAAGTAATAATGGTTAAAAACTCAATCCTTAGAAATATTGCTACTTGCTTAAAATGTAAACAAAAATACCTGAAGTTGAAGGTACTTCCACAGTAATACTACTGTAAGGTGGAGGTGAAGAGTCAGTATCAACCACAGGTGTTGAAGGAGCAATCTGTACTGTTTGTGGTGCTGCGTTTGAAGTTGATGGCTGCTCTATAGCAGATGATTCTGGATTATCCTCTTCATTGTGGAGCTAAAAGAACAAAGAAGAAAACTTTAATGTAATTCTGATTATTATTTTTAAAGTTTTTAACCTAGGTTTTAAAATTTTTTTAGGCAAATGATATTTTAGTCAAGAAAAAGGTAAAAATGCCCTTTAAGAGATGAATAAAAACTACCTTCAATTATTCTGTCCAATGTCTCTCTTTTACATTCTTAACCTTAGGAAAAAGAAGAGGGGCTACAGGGAGAACTACTTATAAATAGTAACAAACTGAGATCTGTGCCCTATTCATGTATCACCTTAAAAGTTATCATTCCAGCTTTTTCTACTAACCGCTTCTTGAAAAAAATATTGGCAATATATAGCACACGAAGACTAAAATAAACCTTTAGTTGAATAAAGAGTTGCATGCACATAGAGCTATGATTTAGGGGAAAATTGAAAGCTGCATTAAAATTCTCTGAAACTATCTTTCTAGAGGAAGACTACCTGTTTTCTTGACCCAAAAAAAAAACCCCTATATGTATTATATTACCTCTAGCTAGAAGACACTGCCAGGCATTGTAAGATACAGTGCCAAAAGATGAGTTTCATAGGTCAGGAAGCTCTCCAAATATGATTAAGGAACAGCTGCTTCTCAAAGTAGAGTCGAATATAACACAGATGAAGTAAAGCCTATGGGAAATTCATTTGCTGATGGGCTACAACTCAAAATGGGAAGAAATATAAGCAAACATTGGAATTTGGAATGTACAAAGTGAAACTAGGAAAAATTAAAGCCATCAAAAATGATATGAGCTGAAATGGACTGGTATCTTGAATCAGGCAGTAATATGGTTTACTATGCTGAGAATAAGGTCCAACATGAATGGTACAGGATTCATAGGCAAAAGGGATATTTTACGACACATCTTGAAGTACAATACTGTCTGTGATAGGATACTATGTATCCCCACACAAGGAAATCCAATAAAGACAATTATTCAAATTTAAGGACGAACCATAAATTTAAACCACTAAAGCTAGTGCAGTACAAACTGAAGAATGTTACTAATAGCTTCAGTCTGAAATTGATCAAACACGCAATCAAGATGCACTGATAATTATTCACAATTGTATGCAAAGTTAGAAACAAAGAACAAGCAAAAGTTAGAAAGTGTGGCCTTGGTGAAAGAAACTAAGCTGGAGATCACATCAAAGAATTCTACTAAGCCAATGACTTCTTCGTTGCAAATATCAGATGGGAAACTCAGAAATCAATTTAACTAAATATGTAGGAAGAGACGGCGGAGAAGCTCAGTCTCAGCAGCTGAAAATGATGAAGGAAACATCAAACGAAGATGGAAAGAATACGCAGAACAATTGTACTACTAATAAGAACTAGTGGAGTATCAGCCAATTCAAGAGGTAGCACATGAGCAAGAACCAATGGTACTGGAGGAAGAAGTCCAAAGTGCACACAAAGTATTTTAGCCAAAAACAAGGGTCCAGAGATGGAGGGACACAGACTGAAATGTTTCAATAAGCTGATGAAGCACTGGAAACACTCATTTGCCTAGGCCATGAAATTTGGAAGACAGCTACTTGGCCAACTGATATTAAGAGATCCTTATTTGTACCTATTCCAAAGAAAGGTAACCCAACAGAATGCTTAAATTATAGAACAGTATTATTAATATCACATGAAGGTAAAATTTTGTTGAAGATCATCCAACAGCAGTTGGTGCAATACAATGACAGAGATCTGCCAGAAGTTCAGCCAGAATCAGAAGTTGTTGTTTCTGAGTTATTAGATGTCACGGAGTCATTTCCAACTCACCACTACTCTATGTACAAGAGAACAAAACACTTCCAAGTGGTTCATTGGCTTGTAAGTTATTGTTTTTTAAATCATTTTATTGGGGGCTCGTACAATTCTTTTCACAATCTATACATACATCCATTGTGTTAAGCCCATTTACACATTTGTTGCCATCATCATTCTCAAAACATTTCCTTTGTACTTTAGCCCTTAATATCAGCTCATCATTTTCCCCCTCCCTCCCCACTCCCCCTTTGTTCTTTGATGCCTGATACCTGATCCCTTTGACACATCATGATCACACAGATTGGTGTGTTTCCATGTGGGCTTTGTTGCTTCTCAGCTAGATGGCTGCTTGTTTACCTTCAAGCCTTTAAGACCCCAGATGCTCTATCTTTTGATATATGGGCACCATCAGCTTCTTCATCACATTTGCTTATGCACTCACTTTGTCTTCAGTAACAGGGAATACAAGACAGATGAACACTTCAGGACCAGTGGTGAGAGTAGCAATACTGAGAGGGTGGAGGGGAGGTGGAACAGAAAGGGGGAATCGATTACAAGGATCTACATATAACCCCCTCCCTGGGGGACGGACAACAAAAAAGTGGGTGAAGGGAGACGTTGGACAGTGTAAGACATGACAAAATTATAATAATTTATAAATTATCAAGGGTTCATGAGGGAGAGGGAAGTAGGGAGGGAGGGGGGAAAAGGAGGAGCTGATACCAAGGGCTCAAGTAGAAAGCAAATGTTTTCAGAATGATGATGGCAACAAATTTACAAATATGCTTGACACACAGATAGATGGATGGATTATGATGAGTTGTATGAGCCCCCCAAAAAAAGATTTTTTTTTTTTAAGTAAAAAGAGTGAAGTTGTGAAGGATTTCATCTTGCTTGGAACAACAATCAAGGCTCATGGAAGCAGCAGTCAAGAAATTAGAACACATTGCACTAATAAATCTGCACAAGTCCTATTTAAAATGTTGAAAAGGGTGTTACTGTGAGAACTAAGGTATATCTGACTCAACCCATGGTATTTCCAATCACCTCTTATGCATGTTAAAGTTGGACAATGAATAAGGAAGACCAAAAAAGAATCAATACATTTGAATTATGGTGCTGGGAAGAATATTGAAAGTACCGTGTTTAAGTCCCCCGCATAGATAAACCAAGGCCAGGCCAGAGAAAGAAAGGGGGAAGTTTATTCTGAGCTTCCTTGGAGAATCCATGTTGCCAGGAGGGAGAGGAAAGAATGGTAAGGGAGAGAAAGAGATGGAAGCCCTGAACTCTCAGGTGAATTCCACATGCCCCTATTGGGGAGACCCACGAAGTCGCTCTTATCTATGGTGGAGAGTGAGTTTTAAGCTGGTCTGGAGGGGAGGAGGGTAAAGCAATAAAGGGAGTGGGTAGAAACAGGGAGCTGTATGCCACCTCCATCCATAAAAATTTCAAGGTAGGGATGTTGCTTTGAATTGGTCTGTTTGGTGCAGGGGCATATGCCTCATTGATCTGCAGCCCTTTGGAATTATCGGCCTTGAACTGATAGAGGCAGGCAGGCTCTAGAGCAGGCAGGCTCTTTCTAATGTCCTCTGACAGGTAAACGACCCAACACCATAAGTGCAAAAAGAACCAACAAATTTGTCTTGGAAAAAGTATAGTCCGAATGTTCCTTGGAGGTAAGGATGGTGAGACATCTCACTTACTTTAAATAGACTAATCCCTGAAAAGAAGATCATTCTAGGTAAATTAAAGGGGCAATGAAAGAAACGAAGACCCTCAACAAGATGGGTTGTCACAGTGGCTGGAACAATGAGTTCAAACAAAATAACAATTGTGAGGATGGCACAGGACTGACGGATGTTTTGTTCTCAGGTGCATACAATTGCTATGAGTCAGAAAGGACTGAGGAAATCTAATAAAACAAGCTAGAAGCCTGGCCTTCTCGTATATAAAAACTATTCTGTTTCTTTTACTCTAATTGGCATGTCTCCTATAGTCCTTTGTTTCATCTTAAGATGATGATATAATAATATAATAACTGGAAGCTTTGGTTTTGAAGAGCCAGATATTTCACTGATTGTTTTCTGAAAGTAACAATGTGCTTTAACATGTTTTTCAGCAACCAGTGACTAGCACCAGAGCTTGTAGCTTAGTCATCAGAATGGTTATTGTGTTATGCTTTGTTTGTTTGTTTTAAATTGGGCATACGGTGGCGCTTAAGAGAACCATGGAATTTTTCTTTAAAAAAAAAAAAAGCATTTTAAACCTTTATAAAACAAAAAGCATCTGAAGGGTGGATATATTTCATTTAGTGCCATATCCTGACTCTATTTAGGACCAGATGGCAGAACTGGAACTACGAATCAGCAGTTACAAAAGACAAATTTTAGCTCAATTACTGTACTTCCAGGCAGAATTTAAATGATGTGTGGTCTACTCAATCTCAAGAGGAAGAGATAGTCTATATATGGGTGCTGAGAGAGCAAAAAACTGACCTGTAGCCAATCTGAGAAACAATATTTTATTAGATTCTTGGGTTTATAGCCCAGCAGTGCTTCTTCCAGTGAGTTATGGAGCTGGATAGGAAAGTTTCCAGAGAAGAGGCATTCTGGGACTCTCTTTTATACTGCGATACAGCTGGGCAGGGTAGCTAGACTAGAGACCTAGTGAAGCCATCAACCTACACTATTCTGCTAACATATCCAAAACTCCTGAAACCCAGGTAGGGGGTGGGAGCATGAAGCTTTCACAATGTTTCTGGCTGTGCTGTGCAATCCTGGCTATCTGTGGAGGAAGGGTATCTTCTAGGTGGGTCTAGTTATACAGTATGCTTAGATGAAATGGCCATTTTTGGAACATCAACTTGTACTCCTACAGTTGATTACTTTTGAAGGTGGAGACATAGGATCGCCTTGAATTGGAACCAACTGGATGGCACTGAGTTTGGTTTTGAGTTTAAACGGAGACAATCCCACAGTCTGTCAATTTGCCTAGAAAGAACTCCCTCCAAAATAAGATTATCGCCATAGGCGTAGGGGCTAACTTGTAACACAGGGGTACCTCAGTTGTCAAACACTTCCAAGATCGAACTTCCCACTACTCCAAACAGCAAAGTTTGAAAGTGTCTGCTCTGTGTTCCTAACTTGCTCAATAGTTGAACCGAAACCCCAACTTGAAAAAAAACCTGCACAGGCCGAGACTAAATCGTGAGACTTGTCTCCCC